AATAAACACCCATGCTTATTACGTCGAAGAACAAGTAAACCGTCGATAGAAGGTTAGTTGGCGTTTTTTGAAGTAAACAATTACGTCTGTTTTTCAAAATAACTGAAGTTAAAACAATTGTCATATGTTAACACGATGGTTTCCCAATAACCGACGTGATACGCCCGACGTGATATCTCACATTTGTAGTAGTGTTTAAGGAAAAATTTTCAAAAATTTTGACATGACTTTGCTATGAATATACAACTAACACCTGCGCATGCTAACCGAATTAATCTCATGTAACAACTACTGCTCGATTGCCCAATTCACTCCCCCACACTTAAACTTTGGCATCACCCTCGATGACCAAAGAATGCACTATGCACAAGGAGGTAAAAAGAAAAGGGTCACACGTGCTCAACTTAACTCAAGTCAACATATTAAACAGGCGTAAATTATATTCATGAAAACATCCCTAGTGGCGTTGGTCGGTGTAGAACTAAACCGCGGCGCATCATCCAGAAAAGCAAGACCTTGAACTGCAAAAACAAAACACACAAATACAAAAACAAAAACAGAAAACACCCCGTATTTTTTTTTCTTTTTTTCCGGGGATTTCTTGAAAGTAAACAAACAAAGACAAAAGTGCAGAATTAAACTTGGGTTGCCTCCCAAGAAGCGCTATTTTTAACATCGTTTTCCCAACACAACTACCTCATATGCTCTCAAATAACAAAGATTGCAGTGGTGCACTAATAATCAACGTCTCCAGCTTCCTCTCAACAAATGCCATTAGATTTCGCAGCTCATTAAATTCTTCAGTCCACGTAGGTAGTATAGAGTCTTCATAACCCTCGTCAGCACATAAGTGAGGGATGAAACTCGCATCCTCTTTGGGTGGACAGAGAACACGAGTCAAAACTTTGATTAGGTATCACTAGAAGCTCAAAAGATGTTTCAAAACAAGGAGTAGGAGCAACACTGCAACACCGTAATCGAACTGCACCATAGAAAACTCTTTTTCTTCTCCACAAATATCATGAACATTCACAACCTCTCCTCCGGACTCTATCACTCCCCATGTGAGCATCCCAACTCTCGGCACCACCGTTCTCATGAATGTCTTCTTGGATGATGTTGTCACTCTCCACATAAAAAGGAATATCATCCTTAAGGAGTGAATCAAAGAAATCCAAATCTACCACATAAGAGTGGATCAGTGCATGTGTACAAGAGGGGTAATCTTGCTTGTGGAGTGGGACTTCTTCATTATGAACATCATCTACCTCGCCCCCACTATCTTGGAACGTGTGATCATCATTTCCCAACTCATCTTCAATACCCAAACCTACCTCAGTAGCACCATCATCATGACTAATCTGCTCCATGCCCTCATCAGGTGTTGAGACTAATGGTAAATCAAACGGCTCAGGAGTTTCTGTATGAAGATCACAGTGATCTGTGACTTCATCAGTTATAACTTGTACTGTTTGAAACTTTTTCCTGTATTCTTGGAAAAACAACCCGACACTACTATCTTCCTGTTCATCTTCAAACATAGGTGGGTCTTCAAAAGCATTAGGAAGTGTATCATCCATCATACTCCCACATTCACAGTCTGACTCAATGCCATGATCATCCCTATTGGTCTCCTCAGGTTGGGTTTCTGTGTCGCTAGGATGGGATGTCGCATACTCCTCAGATTGAGCTCATGCTTGCTGATTCATCAAGCTATTTATATCTCGCGTTATGGCTGAAGTGCTCTGCATGATACTCTCTTCGAACTCAGCCAGACTCTGTGAAAGTGTCTTCTTAAATTGATTCTATGGCTCATTATGCGATAAGGATGTACGAATGACTGAAACATTTGTGTTCCTAACTTATGGGGAGGATGAAGTGGGGTATGTAGTTGCCCAATATGGATGGTCATAAGGATGTTTAACGGGGCATAAAGATATATGGTGACATCCTCCACAAAAGGAACAAATGCTATTGTTAGGTAGAATATGATGAGAAAAGTGAGATTGGAGGGATTGTGTGGTTGTAGAAGAGTTTTGTGGATAAAAAGATTGAAGGTTTTGTGGTGTAGAAGAGTAATATTGGTGAGGAGCGTAATATTGATGATGAAGGTAAGGAGAGTATGACGTATATGAAGAATATTCCGTGGAGGTTTGGGGGTAAGGTGTTCCTCCAGGAATTGAGATGAATGGGTTCATCACATGCCTCTTAAAAAAATACCCGAAAGGTTAACACAGAAAAATCCTATGAAAAACTAAAAAAAACTAACTAAAAAAAATCTCTCTGAAATTGATTAACCCTTAAAACCGATACCGTCCCCAGCAATGGTGCCAAAAACTGATGTGAGTTTTCTCGCACTTAAAATAGATCGTAGAATAGTGGTGTAAGTACGAGTATCGTCTCCACATGGACGGTAAAAAGGGAATCGGGAATTAATTATATTCAACGATTAAAAAGAAATAAAATAAAATAAATTGTGCGAGATTTGATTGATTGGAAAATTAAATTGCGAAAAAAGAAATTAAACTAATGGGCTCTTTCTAATTAATGACGATAGAGAACAAAGATTGATTCCATGGTAATCAAATTTCTGGCAGATCAGGCTTAATTACATGAAATTAATTTAATTGAGTCTAGATAATCATTACTAAGTTCTTACCGCTCTAGCGGCGTAGAGTACAATAATTTAGGAGATCAGGCTGATCTCTCATGCGACAAGATCCTAAATTATTGTCAAAACGAGCGAGCTTACGACCCCTTAATCACTCCTAATCTCTTAGCAAACGATTAAGTGTGTGTGTGAAGGTGTCCTAGAATAAATTAGACCTCTCTTAATTTATTCTACCAGCAATTGTAATTCTAGTCGCAATTCTAGGTCACAAGAGATATCGATTAAATCATTCATACACAAATTAAATAAAGATTCATGCAATTTAAACCATCAAGATCCTAGCCATACATCAAGAATAACCCCTTCATCAATCCAAAATCCCTAATTACAACTACTCACAACTCATAATTGAATAATCAATAGAATTGGGAAGAATAGAAATAATTGTCATTAATTAAAAAGTAGGAACTTACAAATAAACCCAAAGAATTTAAGAACAAGGCTTGAAAGCTCTCAAACTTTCGTGTTAGGTCTTCTCTCTAAGTTCCACCCCCCTCAATCACGTAAATGGCAACCTTATTTATAGGAAACAACGAATTCAAGTTGAATTAGGACTGAAACAGGGTACGCAAGGCGCCCACGCACGGCATGCGTGGCGTCCGTGCGTCCGACGGACCTGCGCGTCAAAATGTGCAACACACGCGTGCGTCCCCCCCACACACGGCCGTGCGTGGCTGCCAGTTGGTTTTCCGGATTCTTGTCTGGGACGCACGATCGTGCGTTCCCCTACCCACGGTGTGCGTCAAATTTCCGAATTTTCTTGACTTTTCTTCCCTCATAAAATTTGTAGATAATGAAGTCCTCTATCCACCACAACTTTCCGAATGGGAGTTGAATCATCCAATCAAAAGATATGATCAAAATGGTGGAAGGTCTTATTCTGAAATCTAAACAGCGATCATCCGACTTCATCGTCTGTTTTCACCTTTCTCCTCTCAGATTCTCGAAATGGTTTGCATATGATTTGTAACCGTTGAAGTTGGCTTTCATATGGGACTTGAATCGTGTCCTTTGGATGCTTCTACAAAGAGATATTTCTTGAACGATTGACAGGTCATCTTGATCGTCGTTTTCAAGCTCTATTCGTCTTCTTTTGATCCCGTAGCCAATCCTAGAGCTCTTTTGTCTTCAAATCTTCATCGTGAACCTCCTGGTGACTCCCAAAGCACTCAATCCATTCTCGAATGCATCTCGAATCATCCTGATTGCTCCTCATGCACCGACGCCGAACTCTAAATTCCTGATTTTGACTCCAAATGACACAAAACTCGAACCAACACCCGGTAACTATGAGTTGAGCTAAAAATGAGACTTGTGACACAAAATAATCAAGGAAACCATCAAAACTTGATCCAAACATGCATCAAATGTGTGTCTAAATACGGACTTATCACGGCCCCAATACCCCCCTCCCAAGTTGGCGCATGGGGATCCAGAATGCCCAACTTGTGCAAAAGATTCTGAAACTGAGTTTTGCCAAGGGATTTGGTGAAAATATCAGCTAACTGAACAGTCGTAGGAACATAGTTGGGAGCAAAAAGTTGAACCTGTATAGCATCATGAACAAAATGACAGCCCACCTCAATGTGTTTAGTCTCTTCATGGAACACTGGATTGTGAGCAATATGAAGAGCAGACTGACTATCACAGTAAAGTGGGGTAGCATGAGGATGTTGAATACCCAAACTTAACAGAAGTGCTTTGAGCCAATTAAGTTCACACGTGGCAGCTGCCATAGAGCGATATTCAGTCTCGGCAGATGAAAGAGCAACAATAGATTGCTTTTTAGATTTCCATGAGACAGGTGAGTGACCAAGAAACACCAACCAGCCCGAAAGGGATCTATGAGTAATAGGTCAGGCGGCCCAGTCAGAGTCACACCAACCAATGAGAGTAAGATCACTATCAGCACAAAGAAGAATGCCCTATCCTGGAGAACCCTTGAGGTACCGAACCACTCGTAGGGCGGCGGACTAATGCTCAGCACGAGGATTCTGCATAAACTGAGATAAGATATGGACAGAATATGTAAGATCCGGGCGGGTAACCGCCAACTAAATAAGCCTGCCAATGGGACGACCATATTGTTCAGGATCTGGGTGTAGTGGACCGGAAGCACTTCCCAAATCATGGTTTTGTTCAATCGGGAATGAGGCTGGTTTGGCTCCCAAGAGACCAGTTTCAGTAATAATATCAAGTGCATACTTCCTCTGGTTGAGAAATATATCGGAGGAACTTCAAGCAACCTGAATCCTAAGAAAATATTTAAGAGTTCCCAAATCTTTCATATGGAAACAAGCATGAAGATAAGATTTAAAACCAACAATGGCAGCACTGTCATTTCCAGAAATAAGAAGATCATCCACATAAACCAGTACATTAAGCTGAATAACACCACGGGTTAGTGTAAACAAAGAATAGTCTGCATAAGACTGGAGAAAACCACACCCTTTAAGTGCAGTGACCAATTTTGCGAACCAACATCACAGAGCTTGTTTAAGACCATATAAAGATTTATGAATGCGACACACCAGAGATGAATCAGAGGTGGTGTACCTAGGAGGAATGGTCATGTATACCTCTTCATGGAGGTCACCATGAAGAAATGCATTGTGGACATCCATTTGATGAAGTTCCCAATTTTTACATGTAGCAATAACAAGAAACGCACGTACTGTAACCATTTTAGCAACTGGTGCAAATGTATCGGTATAGTCCAAACCAGCTACCTGCCGATTACCAAAAATGACCAGACGAGCCTTAAGGCGTTCAATACTTCCATCACATTTATGTTTGACTTTATAAACCCACCGACACCCTAAGATCCGTTTACCATGAGGTAAGGGAACGAGACTCCATGTAGAAATATTTTCAAGAGCAGCAATTTGGTCACACATGGCCTGACGCCATCCATCATGTTTGGCCGCATCAGAAAATGTTCGGGGTTCTGTAGTAGAGTTAAGAGCTGCCAAATAAGCCACATGTTTTGGAGAAAATTTATCACAAGCCACATAATGAGTTATAAGGAACGGCGTACCTGAAGGAGCCGATGAAACAGAAGAAACGGGAAATGGATTACTTTTAATAATTGTGTGAGTGACATAGTCCTTAAGGCGTACAGAAGGCACTCGTGTACGCTGCCCGCGCCCCAAAACAGTCGGATGGGCATATGCCTCAATGGTCGGTGACGTAGTCCTTGTAAGTGATGCCTCGGTGTCCGGCTGTGCAACATGCTGGAGCTGAGTGTCCAAAGCAGGTGTTGGAGTAGCGGATGGCGTGGATGCTGAAGCCATGTCCACATCAGTTCGTGCGTGATACGTTGGAGGATATCCAGGTGCGGACAAAGCAGTATAATCATGAGGCCAAAACACAATTTCCTTAGGAGGATGGTCAGAAACGGAAACATTATTTGCAAACGGGAATATATTCTCAAAAAATTGACATCACGTGATATGAAATATTCCCGAGTCTCAAGATCATAAACATTCCAACCTTTCTTGCCAAAAGTGTAACCCACAAAATGCAATTTCTGGCGCGAGTGAGAAATTTGTCACTTTTGGACTTCATATTAAAAGCATAACATAGACATCCAAACACACGCAGGGATTGGTAACTAGATGGTACACCAAATAAAATTTCATACGGTGTCTTAAAGTTATGCAAAGCAAAAGGAGTCCAGTTAATGAGATGAGAGCCAGTAAGAACACATTCACCCCAAAAAGAAATAGGTAAATGTCCTTGAAATCTCAAAGCACAGGCTACATTTAGAATATGCCTGTGTTTACGCTCAACAAGCCCATTTTGTTGTGGCGTGCCAACACATGATGTCTGAAAAATAATTTTAGTAGTCCGAAAAAATCTTTGAGACAATTAAATTCTGTCCCATTGTCACTTCTCACAGCAACAATTTTCTTAGAGAACTGACGTTCCACCATAGCAACAAAAGAAAGGAACATTTTAAAAACTTCCTTTTTATCAATAAGCAGGTAAACCCACCCGACACGAGAATAATCATCCACAATTGTCAAAAACTGTCTAGCACCACATGAAGATGGGGTATTATATGGACCCCACAAATCACAATGTATCAATTCAAAAATGGCATTCGTTTTATTCAAACTACTAGTAGGAAAAGAATCCCTAGTTTGCTTAGCCTTAAAACAAACATCACAAGGTGAATTTCCAACAAATTTCGCACCACTTACGGGAGCCAAATGTTCAATTACTCGTGAAGATGGCACAAGTCCACAATCAAATTCTTTGATTCTCTTATTGCCAAAATCTACGCTGAAGGTTCCTCACGCAAATAGTAGAGTCCATTTCGCCGTTCACCCGTTCCAATCAGCCTCCTCGAAAGATGATCCTGTATAACACACAAGTGACAAGTGAACTGGACAAAACAATCTAGCTGGTCACTCGTTTGGGATACCGATATAAGATTGCAACTCAGCTCAGGGACATATAGAACATTATTTAAATAAAAATTATCAGACAATATTACTCGCCCTTCCTGAGTGGCCATGACAGTCTGTCCATCAGGTAAACCAACGGAGCAAGGCTCAATAGATTTAATCTGACACAAAAATGTCAGATTTTCACACACATGGTTAGTAGCACCCGTATCAATAATCCATGCATTTTTATCAAACTTATCAGCCATCTGATCATTAGAGTGGGACAAATTACCAAAGACCGATAATAGTGTATTCCATTGCTCAAAAGTAAAATCGAGCAAAGGTGTTGCCTGGCCGCCACTACCTTCCCAAATGGAGTTTTATTGATGGGTACGGCTACTGCAACATGTGCATTGGCAGGGGTTTTGCCTCATGGCATTCCTGAATTAGCCCTTTTTCCATGTTGATTCAAGGAAAAAATTGAAGTGCAGACGATTTTCGCCGGAGTATATCCGCAAGTTGATCCGTCTTCTCCGTTCGCCATTCTTGCAGAAGCAAGTCACGGTGTCTCTGACTCTCTGATACCAATGATAGATTTCAGTTTGTACACACAAGTTTAGATATGCGAAGCAGAAGAAGCAAGGAATAATCGTCTCATTCTTTTATGAAGTATCCGTCCACACATACAACCAAGATGCAGTGTAATTGCATCGGTCAAGCCTAAAAATAATGTAAAAGAATTCTAAACAAATACTACCACAATAAATAAAATGATCACAAGACCATAAATAAAATATTCTGATGTGATTTTTCTCGCATTTAAAAAGATTGTAGAATAGTGATGAAAGTACGAGTATCGTCTCCACAGGGACGGACAAAAGAGAATTAAAGATCGACTAAATTCAGCGATTAAAAATAAATAAAATAAATGCGGTCGTGCGAGATTTGGTTGATTGAGAAATTTAAAATTGCAAATAAATGAATAAAAGTAAAGATTTGGGTTCTTATTAATTAACGACGAAGGGAACAGGGATTGATTCCGGGGTAATCAGATTTCTTGCTGATCAGACTTAATTACATGAAATTAATTTAATTGAGCCTAGCTAATCAATACTAAGTTCTTACCGCTCTCGCGGCGTAGAGTACAGTAATTTAGGGGACCAAGCTGATCTCTCATGCGACAGGATCCTAAATTATTGCCAAGACGAGCGAGCTTACGGCCCCTTAATCGCTACTAATCTCTTAGCGAACGATTAAGTGTGCGTGAATGTGTCTTAGAACAAACTAGATCTCTCGTAATTTATTTTATGTGCAATTATAATTCTA